TTTTCTGTATTTTAATTAAACAGATGCAAAGAGTCCAGCCTATAATGTTCTTAAAATGGATGGTTCATTGAACACATCACTTGCAAATATGACCTGTGCACCATTCAGGGATTTGAGAAGACATACCTGACATTGCATTCCTTCATTTAACTGATTCCTTTCAGAGGAAGCTGACGTTTGCATGCACTGTAAAGCACCCAAAGAAAAGATAACTAGAGTGGTGTATTGTTTACTCAATTGCAGGCGAACATTTACGTTTGAGGCTGTTGACACTACTTTCTGTGGATTTCAGTTTCAGTTCTTACATGAAAGTCACTAGTGTAGTGAGCACCTTAAAGATGTGAGATGTTAAAATAGCCCGAATTACTTCTGTTCTCATTAAGTGAATTAATTGATTGCATTTAAATAAACACTGTTTTCACATTATTTAAGCCTTGAACACAGAAGGAAGGACTCTCATGGTTGTCCTGAGGTATGTTTAATTTCTCTTACATAATTTATATATCTCTGACATAATTTATATATTTGTATTCATGCACTTTTAGAATTTGATTAGATTTAAAGCTAGTTGATGTACTAGACATTAAAGTTTAGCATCCTAAACGAATTATATAAGGAATCTTTTGTTGCATTTCTAGTATTTTTCTCTCTTTGAAGAAAATTTGCTCTGATTGGTATTTATACATTTTTATCCTCATAATCTTTATTCTTAACATTTCTGGTTAGGAAGCTCACTCATAGCATTAGGCTATGCATTTATGATACACATCATACTGTCCTTCCAGTTCACTGTTCCCTTCATTGTAGTGTTCATTTTCACTGGTGTCTGGTGATAGGATTCTGTGGCAGTCAAGTTTTTGAACCCAGTCAGCCCTAGGCCATCAAGAGCAAACCCTTAGTGCAACAAAAGAACATCCTTATCCTGATTCCAAACATGTGAATAGATTGAGAAGGGAAGTCGAAGATAGAAACCAAAGTAACACCCTCATCACTACTAATAAAGGAGGAAGCTTAGTGCAGAGCGAGTGGGTCTTTTGAGGACATCTGGAACAGCTGTCCAAAGCCTGATGCGCAGATACTACTTGCCATCGCTTCTCTCCAAGACAGAAGGGCGGGGAGTTCATTGAGAATTCCCCACATTGAAATGGAAGCACCTGCTTGTAAGGAGATAATTTCAATGAGTTTATCCCTGCCACCATTCACTGAGTCCTACTGGAGATTTTCACTTCCATTCTCTCAGTTCTAAAAAAGTAAGGTTGCATGGTGTTAGTCCACATCTGACCCTTTGGTGTGATCTATTTGAGGAAAGCAAAAATTACCTAACTTGTTAGTATTATGAAAGACTGAGTGGAAGGAATGTATTGTATTTTTCTTATAAAACTTATAAATCTGGCCCTCTGTGCTCTTTTTCTTATGGTACCATTTGATTTCTATGAATAGCTCTTACATTATCAGATACATTTTCAAGTAAAAATAATTTTACCTTTAGGTCATTGCAGCAAATTTGGAAGAAAATTTAGGTTTTTAATTATAATAAATATTTCCACCATTGATATAATGATTTTTCCTAGGGTTACAGATTTCAAGCAACCATTTTCTTAGATTTACTTAACTCTAGGAACCTAGTTACTCTATGCTCAATAATGTGGCCAATCTATTTCTTTTTTTCCCCTTCAAAAAAACAATTTGTGTTCTGGTGTAACATTTTCTGATCATACAATATTCCACATAGCATGGGAAATAATGTTTTTGAAAACCGCCTCATGTTACAGAGGTGATTTTTAAGGGTTCTGTGTCCTAAGTCGATCTTCATTTCCTACAACTGGCGTAGGAAGCAGTTATGACTCCCCTTTAAGGGTTGACGAGCTGACTACCTGGGCAGGTTTTTCTAGGGCCTCCCCGTGTGGCACTGTTACAAAGTGGGGGTAAGATGTAGGCAGTAGGCTAGGGGCAGTGGTACGCCCCTGTGATCCCAGCACTCAGGGGGCCGAAATAGAAATAGTGCAGATTCAGAGCCAGCTGGGGTATTACACAGTAAGACCCAGTCTCAATAAAAAGGTAAGGAAACTGAATAGTCATTTTAATTTAACTAAAAACATAATCATAACACGTTAGAAAAGTTATGACAAAGTGGAACAATAAGCCTAGTAATCATTTCTCATACAGACGTTCCTTGTCATTTGTATGTGAGAATAGATAACTTAATCTAATAAATTTAAACCAAAATGATGTGGGTGATGCCATCTAACCCTGGGAACTATAGTTTCCCCCCGTACTGTTTTAGGTGAATGTAATCAAGGAGAGACCGAAGACAGATGAACACAAATCTTACCCGTGCTCATTCAAGGACTGTACTGAAGTAGAGCTCGTGGCAGTGATATGTCCTTATTGTGAGAAGAACTTTTGCCTAAGGTAATCACCTAAACCATTCAAGCTTTATGTATCTGTTTGGCTGTACGTGAGTGAGTACCAACTCCTCCGTTGCTTGTAGACACCGTCATCAGTCGGATCATGGCTGTGAAAAACTGGAGATCCCAAAGCCTCGAATGGCGGCCACACAGAAACTCGTCAAAGACATTATCGGTGAGTCCTCACGAGCCTGGGTGGCCGCTTTGCTTCCTGGTGTGCATCTGTTACTCCGCTGCTCCTGCCTCTTACGTCTGATCACCAGTTACGGGGTTCCGTTAGCAGGCCCAGTGTAAGGACTTGCATTCTAAAATTTTATTTATTTTTTAAATTATTTGTATGGGTGCTTTGCCTGTGTACCACTGGCATGCCTGCAACCCTTGGAGGCCAGAGAGAGTACAGGGTGTCAGATCCCCTGGAACAGGAGTTATATACAGCTATAAGCCATGTGGGTGCTGGGAATTGAACCCAGGTCCTCTGGAAAAGCAGCCAGTGCTCTTAACAGCTGAACCATCTCTACAGCCCCAAGAACTTGCATTTTAATTTTGTACAAGCCTTCCTGAGCAGTGAAAATCAGAAAATTGTAAGGTTCTCATTAGATGGTCTCATTTTGGGGGCAGCTTGGATCTGGTGTTAACAATTATAGCTAGGTATGTTGATGAAGTTGGCATGATGGACAGCTTTGTCTACAGAATACACTTTACTAAGGCTGTGCTGTGAATGTTGCTGATAATATGAGGAGGCACCAGGAAAGAGCATGGCTGTGACCTAGCTTAGTTTCTCTGGCAAGATATTGGTTCACTAGAGCTTTTATCCCACATGAAGGGTGGGGCCTTTGTTAAAAACGGAAGTGTTTTATAAAAACATCAGTGGCCACTTTAGATTAAATTGGTTAGGTCAAAAAGAAACACATGCCTGTGAATTTTTTTGAGTTATAACTTGGAAACAGAGGTTTTTCTGTTCCACCCTGTCCCATAGCCGCTTTGAAATATTCACTCAGAGGCTTAATATTAATTACAGAATGTTTGGCCTATAGTTCAGGCTTATTACTAACTAGCTCTTACATTAAAATTAGCCCATTTTTATTAATTTGTGCATCGCCATGTGGGCTGTGGCCTGCAGGTTCTCTGACATCTTTTTTCTTGGGAGGCTGGCTCTCATCTCTCCACACCACCCTTCCTTCTCCCTGTCTCTCTATTTGGCTTTCCTGCCCAGCCTTATTCTGCCTGGCTATAGGCCAAATCATGTTTTATTATCAACCAATGAGAGCAACACACGTTGATGGCGTGCAGAAGGGTCCTCCCACAGCAATAACTTGCTTAGATTGACCATTAGTCATGTAAATATACTTAACAGAGCTCTACTGTGCAATTTATGTATGCTGAAGGCCATAATGGTACAGCTGGGCATGGCGGTGTACTTCTGTAATTCCAGCAGAGGCAGGTGGATCTCAGTGAGTTTCAAGCCAGCCAAGCTTACACAGGTATACCTTGTCTCAAAACAAGAGAAAAAAAAAAAAAGGAAAGACAAGAGAAAAGAAAATCTGGAAATTGCGATGGGCAAGTGCTTACATGCTGATACTTCTTCCTTAGAGACCAAGGCAGAAGTGGCAGTGAGTAAAGGCCGGAAAGGCGCGAAAACCAGCGGGACAGCGGCAAAGGTGGCTCTGATGAAGCTGAAGATGCATGCTGACGGGGAGAAGTCACTGCCACAGGTGAAAAGAGCAAACGCGTCAGATGTCCGTGCGGTCTCCTTTCTCTTCCTTCCATTGAATGCAACTTAAACCTGACGTGTGTCACTTCTAAAGGTCACGTGCTGGGGAGTCTATAAATACGCCATACCTCTGCATTTTTTCCTCTTTGTAGAGATGGCAATAAACCACACGTGGCCTTCTTTCCCCCACTTTGCATCATGTTTTTGGTATTTGTCTGTACTCAAGTTATGGTCTAGCTCATTCAGTAGCCACACATTATTCTGTTGTATGACTGTGGCCTACTTTACTTTCGTCAATAAATCTCAGGTTTATTCAGTGCATTGTTATTAACACCTGTTCTTCAGTGAGGATTCTTGTGTTTAGGGAGGGGACCTTCTCTAGACAGTCTCTTTAAAATCCCAACACCTAGGAGAAGGAAGTAGGAGATCAGGAGTTCAAGGTTAACTTGAGCTATGGAGTGAGTGCCAGGAAAAACTCAGACTATACAAGCATACAGAGTTACACACCCTTATACAGATTCATTAATTAACATTTAGCCATTTGTATGTGTCCCTGCTTCTCTGTTGCTGTGACAAACACTGACCAAATCCAACTTGAGGAGGAAAGGGTTTATTTCAGCTTCCATGAACTCAGACAGGAACCATGGAGGAATGTTGCTTATTGGCCTGCTCAGACTGCTTTCTTATATAGCTCAGGACAACGTGCTCAGGGATGGCACTGCCCACAGGGGCCTGGGCCCTCCTCCAGCAATCTAGAAATTAGCAATCTAGAAAATGCCACCCACACATGCCAATCTGATGGAGGCAATCCTCAGTTGAGGCTTCCTCCCAGCTGTCTCTAGTTTGTGTAAAATCAACAAAAACTAACCAGCATACAGCATAACATGTTACATGTGTGTCTGTGAACATATACATATATTTATGAATGTCTAGTGATGAGGCTATAAATGAAAGTAAAGCATGTTTCAGATAGATTATGTAGTTGTCTGTCTGTCTGTATGCCCATTGCCTAGTAGAAAAAAACCTGTGTGCTAGTATTGCTGACACTTTCTTTAAAATGTGCATCATAGTCCATGAAATGTGTGATGTGACTTTTTGCCCTTTCCCTATTGGTGAATATTGATTCTGTCTCCTCTTACTGCCATTGTATTTATTTGATTGTTTTCTTTTTTTGAGATAGGTTTTTATGTAGTTCAGGCAGCCCCAGGAATCGATAACTCCTTTTTGTGCCCCTCATGCTGCCATCTAGATGACCTTCAAATCCATCGCCTCATTAATTAAGCCTTTTGATTGAGGATGATAGGAATTTACCTGTTTGAGTTTCTTATTTTAGAAGCCATATTTTTTAGCTTTTGTATTTCTTCTTGGATATCTACATCTTGTTTTACTTCTGCTTGTTTTCATCTTTTAACATATTTATTTTTATGGGAAATATTACATAACATCTCTCATTGTATCCCAAATCACTTACTTTAATATCTTTTTAAATTGGTTATGTTCATTACTTTGTTTTAAAATTGAAGTTTATTGATTCTACAAGTTCATCTTGACTCTGAAGGGCTTCTTGAATTTTTCTCCCCTTACTTCCTAGTGTCGTGCCCCCCCCCCCCCCCCCCCAGCAGTTCAGTCTTTTCTCTCCAGCCCACCCACCCAGAGCATCAGTTTCAAACCTAAGTCAGGCCGAGTGATGCTTCTGCTCTAGAGAGACGCTGAGGTTGTTGCCATGGCAGCCACTGAGCTGGGAGAGCTTAGCTATGCGGTCAGGAAGACACAGCTACGCCTTTGAGCAGTTTCCAGGCCAGCACTCAGCAGTCAGTCCCTTAGCCTGCTCTGTAGATTCTAGTCTCCCTGAAATTGTTAAGGACAAAGAAATTGCAAGGTAGCTGACAGGATATGGAGTCCGAGTCCACGCCAGGCTCTCCGCAGGCCGTGAGCCCCCAAGAGCCCTGTCCTTATCCCTTTATTTACTTCCCACTTCGCCACCATTACGCTCTGCACTATCTGTTCCAAAGCCCTGATGGCCTGTGGGGTTTGTTTTTGTAGTTTTCTTTATGTTTCTTGTTGCTGTTGTTGTTTATTTATTTAGAGACAGTCCCAATCTGTTGTTAAATTTACAAACTCATGAACCTCCTGCTTCAGCTTCCTGTTAGCTCGTTTTTTTTGGTCCTAAGACCGATTTTTAGAGGCTGTAAATTTTCGTTTTCCCTTTCCTATTTGCACGCCTGCTGCTCTCCTCTGGGAGCAGGGCTGGTGGTGATGGACGTGGCCACTGCTTAGGCTGTTACAGCGGTTCTCTTGTCTTTGAATGTTTTTATCTATAATAAATCCCACTGACCGTCAACAGAGCTAAATTCAGGCATTGTTTTCACTGTGTTACTTCTTAAGATAACTTCGATTGTTCCCCAACATTTCCCATTAAAGATGCCTCACTTAGAGCAACACTTTTGTTGTTCGGGAATTGACCTGTGAAGACAGTCTCCCTAAAGCAGTTTTTAGGAATCAGGGAAGATCCTATTCCCCCTATTTTTTTTAATGAAGTTAATTAAGTAACAAATACAACTGAAGAACACAGGAAGGCGCAGATTATGGTAGAGATCCCATCTCTGAAACCCTGTTTTATTTATAAAGTATTTTTCTGGGGCTTTACTGTACTCTAGTTTTTCACTTTCTTCGTTCTTAGAAATCTTTCGGCCTCTGATAAGTAGTAAAGTTGTTCACATACAAACAAGTGTTTTGTACCAAAAGCCTCGTCTCTCGAATGACAGGAACTTGATTCCAGGAAGTACAGTGGAAACCAGTTTGTTTCCGAGCAGAACAGAACAGGGGGCCCATGTTGAGGGATTCTGATGTTCTTGAATGATCCATCAGTTTTCTTGATTTCTCTCTGTTCATGTTGAATTCATTCTTAACTCAGGGGTGGCTAGGGGATATGAGGGAAGCCTGCAGTCCAGGTCTGAATCACTGGAACTCGACATAGAAAAGAGAGAGCTCCCTCTGCCCCCGTCCCTGAACATAAAAAGCTTACACAATTGTCATTACACAGACCGCCCAGCCAGGGTTCTGGGTCTTTGGACATGCAGTTAGTTAGATGGGCCACATGATTGGTTTTCTCACTAAAACTTACATCGTTGTAGGGTTTTCCTACTTTGAGCAAAAGAAGAGAGGAAAGGGTACCACTAGCTGCAAAAGGAATGTCTTGCATCATGTGTCTAATCTATGTTCACTTTTGCTTACACAGACAGAAAGAATTTACTTTCAGGTCTACTTACCAAAGGGGAGCAAAGAGAAGAGCAGAGCCATGTTCTTCTGCCAGCGATGGAGCATTGGGAAGGTCGTGGACTTCGCAGCTTCCCTAGCCAGTCTTCGAAATGAAAACAACAAGTCGACAGCCAAGGTAATGTGCAGTCAGCACTGTTCCTCCAGGGCCTGGGAGGTGTCGTTACCCCTGGCTGACTTGTTCCTCTCTCAGCAGAAGCTGAGGCTGTGTCACGTCCCTTCAGGAGAAGCCTTGCCCTTGGACCACACTTTGGAGACGTGGATCACCAGGGAGGACAACCCTTTATATAATGGTGGAAATGTTATTTTGGAATACCTCAACGATGAAGAACAGACTTTAAAAAATGTTGACTCTTACTTGGAATAGTCACTCAAGAATTAGAGCCAGAATTTACAAGTAGAAATCATTCTATATACATAGTCGGTTTCTTTTACCACAGATACTTTTAAAAACTCTAAAAGTTGCTTTTTTATAATTTATTTCCACTAGGTCATAATTTACGTCAGTAGTTTTCTACTAAGTTCCAGGTTTTGTGTTTTGAAGTTTAACTATGTACTGAGAGTTATGGTAAAATATTATTTTTATTACTGTTTCTGGGTTATGTGTAGAAATGTCAGCAACCATGTGTTTCCTGTTAGGCCCACGCCAGCTGCTGACTTCCTGCTGTGGCACGTTCTGTACCACCTTCACTCCAAGTTCCGGCTCATACCATACCCACCGTTCTGTGGTTTTGCCATTCTTGTGGCCGAGGAAGATGCAGATGGCAGATGCTTCAGTCCCTGTTGATTTTGTTTTAAGCAAGTTCTGTGATTAAGCCTCATTGATTACAGGGCCAGAATGGATGGTCTACTGTAGACCTAAATGATGGTGTATGAATTGATATATGCACATGAACTGCAGAATCTTAGACATCCTCTCGTTCTGTCTTCCAAGTGTTTGGATAAGAATCCTCAAACCTAAGAAGGGAAAGTTATTTTCTTAGTATCATGTAATTGCCCCGAATATATTTCTGGTAAAGAATTTTCTCCAATGGATTCACCTTTTGTTGGTATGAATGTATTACAGATGAGAAGAGCGATGAGCATACTGACTTTGTTACAGTCTCCTTCATTGTACCAAAGCAAAATATCCACCAAAATGATTGCATTTACCTGTACATTGAAAGAAGTTCTCTGGGCAGGCTTTTTGTCTACATCTGAGGAGAAGAAATGTTTTCTGTCTGTAGGGGATGCAGGACTACACTAGAGAAGGAAATCAAGTATTTTTAATTGCCCCCCCCTTCTGTGCCAATTTTCATGACTTCAGGTTTAATTAAAGGAATAAACTCAGCATGTTCATTTGGTCTTCTTCAATTTCATCTTTTTCATGTCCTTGTGATAAAGAGTGATACTTTCTAGCTTTTACCAGGTTCTGAATTCATGCCTTTACATAGTTCCTGCATGCCTACTTGACACATTAATGTCTAGTTGCCAATACAGGCACAGTGGAGATATGTATACATATACTTAGAACTGTCATACGAAGTTGTAAGGCAGGTTGCAAATAAGTGAATAGACAATATAGCCATATCTCAATAGCTGTTTTGTTGGAAACTATCAAACTAGCAATAGAAATAATCTTTTAAAAATCCATATACCAGGAGTTGGGTTTGGTTTGGGTTGGTTTGGTTTTGGGTTGGATTAGTTTTTTGTTTTTTTGAGATACCAGAAAGTTTTAATACCAACCAGTACTTTACACTAATCACAATTACTTGCACACAGTAGGTAGTCAGCACTTATATTTGAATGAAAACTAAATATGCAGAAAAATAATACCTACTGAGCAGAGGGCAAATGAGGCTGGCAGGGATTGAAAGCTAGGAAGGATGAAAAAATGTCTTCTCTCTTGGGTCAGACAAAAGGGACAAGGCTGTCCAGAGGGGACCAACAACATTGGGCAGTGTAAGCCAGGTCAGGTCCTCGCCGGTGGAGCCCGCAGGTCTGGAGGATGCCAGGGAGGAACAGCCTTGGTACTAAGGACTGGCAGCTAAAGCATGCTTGGTCTAAGGACAAGATGTGCGGGTGAGTCTCAGTCCCCCTAACTCCCGGTGTCCAAATCACTCGGAAAGTGGCAAACCCAGGGCATTGGGTTAAAGCTGCCTAATGAAACGGCAGGTGACACCGTCCCTGTCACTTCTAGAGTTTTGACTGCCGACAGTCGATTACAATTGTACTGGGAAACACACACAGCACAGGGGAGGAGAGCAGATGAACAACTGAAATAACCCCTTAGTACTAACAAGCGTCAGTCTAAAGAGTGAGGAAATACACGAGAGAGCTGGATGATCGGACTCGTCCCAGCTACAGTGATCAGCTTTTAGTCCCGAAGTTTTCAGATATGAAGAAGGGTTGGGAGAGCCTGAAAGAGAAACAAAACAAAATAAAACCACACAACTCTAGATAAAGCACCTGGGAGGAAAAGCATACCTACTTCCCATTGCTTGGATCTGGTCAAAGCTGTGAATTAAGGTACTAGGTCATATAATGTAAGGGTAACTGCCATTTTCTTTTCTAAGTTACATTATTTAGTTTTGATATATGTGGGCACATGCCACAGTGTGTGTGTGGAGGTCAGAGGACAACTTGGGGGAACTGGGTCTTTCCTACTCTGGGTTCTGGGGGTCAAACTCAGGTGTGCTCCCTGGCAGTAAGTGCCCTACCTACTGAGCTAGCCCACTGGGCTCTTGACTCATTTTGACAAGTTCTTCCTGTGTGGTTCAGGCTGGCCTTAAACTTGTGACTCTCCTGTGTTAGCCTTCTCAGTGTCAGGTGTTTTTGTCTCTTTAAAGTTCTTGGGAATCTGAGTGTGGTGGCTCACGCCTTTAATCCCAGCACTCAGGAGGCAGAAGTGGATCTCTGTGAGTTCAGGACCAACCTGATCTACCTAGTGAGTTCCAGGACAGCCAGCCAGAGATTCATAGTGATACTCTGTCCTAAAACAGCTTAGTCCTGTTGCCTGTCCTCACCACTGGTAAAAGTGTTTGTTGTTTTTTTAATGTCCTACATAGAACTAAATGGTGCCAAATTCATGTTTGGGAGACACATACACAGTCTCTTTAAAAATCTGTCAAACTGTGAAAATGCCAAGATGAAGCGCATCACTTTGTATTCTAACACACACAAGTAGAATAGACGTCTGTAGTCGTGGGGAGATTACTGTTTGAATTCTCACTGCTTGGCATCCTTTCATTTGGGAAATGCACAGTTGCGTTTGTGGACTGCATTTCCTCACCCATGGAAGCTGAGGCACGGCTGGGTCAGTTGACTGCTGCCCACACCCTAGCTGTGCAGTGAGTCATGTTACTAAGAAAGACTAGAGCATTAGAGTTAAGCTCAGTGCCTTTCCACTGAGGAATTCCAAATGCCAGGTAGCAACAGCCACTCAGCCAGGCTATAGCTTTAACCACCTGCTTACTTTCTCAAGTTACCTGGTGTCATGCCTGACGTTTTCCTACAGACAGACACCAAGGGCAGTCTAAGGGTTTGTTTTGCCTGATAGATTGCTCTAGAACTCCAGAAGACCATTAGTGTCAAGGATGGTCTCAAGAGCAGCCATTGTAGCCACTGATGGCAGCCACATGACTAACTTCAAGTGCACCAAGTTGAACCTCTCTTGGTCACTATGGCTTTCAGTTTGGGGCCCCAGTGTTACAGGTGTGAATCAGGGTGCATAGGGCACCTGCATCGACTTCCAACTGCTTGTGACCCTGAACAAGGAATTGGACTAGGGACAGACACACGGATGGTGACAGGAAAAGCGATGGAAGTGGGCCTGGGCTGGAGAAGGGTTAGGAGTTCAGCGCCACCTGTTCAGAGCAGATTGGCACATTTGCCCCACGCGGCGTGTGTTTTTTCTGCGCATGCTCTGTTAGAAGACAGCCTTGGTAGGAAGGGGCTTCCAGTCTTTCAGCTAACTGGCTTCTTTCATGTGCCAAGTTTCACCAATTCTCTCTTTCTCTGTCTCCCCCCTCCCTCTCCCCTACATCCTTCCTCTCCCTCAGCCCCTCCCCTCCTCCTCTCTCCCGACTACACCACTCTCCTGTCACACCAGCATGTAGAGCATGTAGATAAGCTGTTTGCTTCTGACTTGACGGAATAGTAATAATGAATTCCCCAGCGTTAGTCTCTATCTTAGGACCCCCCCCCCCGGCTGCTTTCATTTTATTATTTTCCTTAGGACAAAAGAGAACTAAAAGAATAATTACTCCAAGAGTTTATCTTCAGGTAATAAGGAACTCAGGAAGAGAGATTAGGTTTTTGTGACAGGACACCGTTAAATGCAAGGGTTTACTTCTCGTATTTCTTGACTACAAGTTAAACTGGTTGTGTCACTCCCTGGATGGCTCTATATTCATTTGAAGTACAGCAGTTCCTCCTCTTGGACCTTGACCCAACCAAACCCCAGCTGTTACCTAACTCCCATTTATGCATTCTGCCACTGAAGACCGGCAAGAAGAATGGTCTTTTTTTTTTTTTTTTTTTCAAAAAACCGAGTTGCCACATATGGTTGCTCTAACCTTTCAAAATGTTTGGAAAAGCTCTTGTAATCCTACTTTTGTTGGTGACCCCAGGAGAAGCAAGGAAGTCGTTTCTCAGTTTTCTGAACATACAAAATACTGAAATACTGTCATTTGCTAAGGCAGAAGAAACTGTCGTTGTAAGGTCCAGTTATAAAGATAAACAGCCTCGCTCCAGCTACCTTTCTGTGAAATCAGACGATCCAACGGTGCTGCAGGTGGTGAACGTGACCAAGACCTCGCTGGACACCACAGACTTTACCATCCGCCTAATGACTTTCCCAGGAGAGACGAATCTGACCATTCAACTCTGGGATTCTGAAGGTAGGCAAAAAAGACTCATCGAAGAGATAAAGAATATTAAAGTCAGAGTGCCCGAACAGACAGAAGACAACCTCTTCCAGGCACCTATGCATGTCAATAGATACATCTTGCTGCTTGTTTTATCGATGATCCTTTTAAATAAATGTGCCTTTGGCTGCAAGATTGAATTCCAGGTACTTCAAACAGTATGGAAGAAACCTCGGCCGGTAGTTCTTGGGGCAGTCACACAGTTTTTTCTTATGCCATTTTGTGGTTTTCTCCTGTCTCAGATTTTGGGATTGCCCAAAGCACAAGCTTTTGGATTTGTAATGACCTGCACATGCCCAGGAGGAGGCGGGGGCTACCTTTTTGCTCTCCTTCTGCAAGGAGATGTCACTTTGGCCATTTTGATGACTTGCACATCAACATCACTGGCCCTGATAATGATGCCTGTCAATTCGTACTTATACAGTAGGCTATTAGGATTAGCAGGTATATTTCACGTTCCCGTTTTCAAGATCGTGTCTATACTCCTATTCATTCTTACACCAATATCAGTCGGTGTAGTCATCAAGCACAGGGCTCCTGAGAAAGCAGTCCATTTAGAGAGAGTAGTTCGGCCTCTGAGTTTGACTTTAATGTTTGTCGGGATCTATTTGGCTTTCAGGATGGGACTGGTGTTTCTAAGAACGGCTAACCTAGACGTGCTTCTTCTGGGGCTGTTGGTTCCTGCACTGGGCTTTACATTTGGCTATTCCTTTGCTAAGGTCTCTATGCTGCCTCTTCCTGTTTGCAAAACAGTTGCTATTGAAAGCGGGATGTTGAATAGTTTCTTAGCCCTGGCCATTATTCAGCTCTCTTTTTCACAGTCCAAGGCATATGAAGCCTCTGTAGCTCCTTTTACAGTAGCCATGTGTTCTGGATGTGAAATGTTACTGCTCCTTCTGGTTTACAAGTGTAAGAAAAGAGGAACCCTTAGCACAGAAACTGAAAACACTCCTTTAGTCTAAAACTTACAGCACTCCTAATTCTTACCCTGGCTGAGACACTGGGGGAGATTCAAACTATGCATAAATAATGCTTGCTCTAAAGTCATCTCTCATCTGGCTAAAAGCTTGACATGGGAGGTGAGGTTATTTCTTCTAATACTTGTATGTGTATGTTTTACATATTTGTATAACATATAGGTGTGTATAATATGTTACACACGTATATATGTTAAATATGTTTATATGTATGTTATATAACACACATATATATGTATATGTTATATATACATATGTTATATGTATATATGTATATGTATATGTTATCCATAGTAAGCACCCAGTGACTGCTACAGTACATATTGAGAAGGGAGCTTAAGATCCCTTGCAGTGTGTTAGTTTGGTAATGATTTTACAACTTCTTAATGAGGAATAGCAATGGAAATAACCAGTAAATCCTGTATATCCTAAGTTTTTAAGGAAAAAATGTTCTTTGGATGGAGCAGCACATGCTGACTCGGGGAATGAGCAGGCAAATTCCTATCTGGCCCTCCCTAGCTCATGTGGAAACAGCCTGTCTTGAATAAACACAGCAGCTCTGTTTTCACAGCCACACATGCTTCTGACTTCTATCCTCCACACCAAAGGCACTGCCACTCATCTGGAAAGGACATCTCCTCCCTCCTCTGACCTTTTTTTTTTAAGCAGTCAACCTCATTATTGCAGAATGTTCATCCACTACCTGCACCAGCCTCCTCCCCATTCCCAGGGCTATTGTTCTTCTTACACATATATTGCTGTTTCCCCAAACCTTTCCAAACTGGCTTTGGCTTCTTTCTTCTAACTCTAGTCAGTCATATTAATCTTATAAAAGTTTAGCTTGGATGGCATAATTTCCCTGCAAAGAAGCCTGTTTGCTACATGCATAAAGCTCCTATTCCCCGGAAAGGCATTATTACCCTCCACTCTGAATTTAATCAGCTTCCTGTTTGCTCCCTACCACTTCTTGACATATGTGTCTTTGCCATTTTGTAGGTTCCTTTTGACTCAGATTTTGGCTCTGCCTAAGGCACAAGCTTTTGTATTATACAGGTCTTTGCTTCTGGCAAAGCAGAGGTTTAGTATCTCAATGATATACCTTGTGTAAGCCAGCCTGGCTGTTTTATAGCAATTTCTGTTCTGTTTAATCTCCTTACTCATCTTTAAGCATGAAACCCACCTTGATATTTTTCTATCATGTTAGCACTAAATTTTCCATACGCTTATTCAAATAGACTGTTAAAGCATAAGCTAGGACTCAAATGAAGACCATGCTTCAAAAAGTAATCGATGAGTCTTGGGTCAGGGGTGTGCAGTAAGAGTGCTTGTCTGGCATATTTGAAGCCCTGGATTGTAACACTGAAAAAATAAACACACACACACACACACACACACACACACACACACACACACACACCTCTACATGCACTTTATGGGATAGATTTCTGCATCATCAAATTTATAACTGAAATTTTCGATGCATTTTTTAGTACTTAAGAGCAGACCAGTCTGTATTCTTGTCTAAGACAATGTAGCCATTAAGGGGGGGAAAAAGAATACTCCTAAGGATATACCTTTCTCTATTTGACTATTTTCTTGTTGTTGGAGGCAAAATAATGATCCGATAGTCCAGTTCCCTTATTTTAAAAAGGTGGAAATAACGATGTCAGCTCCATTAGATTCTCCTGGGAGTGATATTCAGCCACGCGTCTACTGTGCTTGCTGAGCAGAGCACAGAGTTAACTGTTATTACTGCTCTGTTCAAGTTTAAACTGTTGGCACTGACAGATACACACTGGTGGTTTGAAATGTCAGATAGCTATGTTTGGAGCCTAAACCTTTAATATTTTCCTGTCAGTGTCCCTGCCTCTAGTGCTGTAGGACTGTGGAACTCCTGTTTTCTGCTGACATAAGATAGACAAATCTGCTCTTTCTTATGTCACTAAGTCCAGCGTATATAAAACAGGATTCATAAAAGACCTGATGGTATGATGACGGATGGCTATTCTGATCTTAACAACAACGATTGCCTCCCTGGAGTATTTGACTCCTTTGGACAGAAACGTCCATTCAGAGGCTCAATATATAAGTGCATTTATGTAATACAAACTTTACTAGGCACCTCTTAGTGAACATAATGGGCCAACTGCAAGTCAGGAAGCCTGCCTTTCTAGCTGTGCTTTATGATCAACCTTATGACACTGAAAGCATGTCAGTTTTTAAATCTGTAAAACTCAAGGGATCAACAGGCTTCATGTTCTCTCTCTGTGTGTGTGTGTGTGTGTGTGTGTGTGTGTGTGTGTGTGTGTGTGTGTGTGTGTGTG